TATATATATATACATGTGTGTGTGTGTGTGTGTGTGTGTGTGTGTTTTGAGGCTTATAGCCTTTTGGTATTTTGTTAGTATACATGTACTTTATCGGGTTTATAGCCTTTTGAGATTTTCTTAATGTACATGTACTTTATGAGGCTTATAGTCTAAGATTTTAGAGTGTACACGCACCTTCTGAGGCTTATAGCCTTTAGAGATTTTTTTTAATTTACTTGTACCTTCTGAAACTTATAGCCTTCTAAGATTTCTTGTGTGGAGACTATATCAATCACTTGCTTTTATGAAGTATTTCTAGTGATAATGTTATCCATTACTGGCTTTCCATCGAGATTACTACATGGGCATGCCTTCCAATGTTGCGAGTGGAGACATTGTCTGTCAATTGCCCTCAAATAGACTTTCTAGTGAGGAATTGTATCCACTAATAGCTTCCATCGAGACTACCTGATGGATGTCTTCTAGGGTTACAAGTGAAGATTGTCTACCACTTGTCATCAAGTGATCTTAAAAAATTTGTTGATAATAAAGAAAATTCGTTGATTAAATTTTACTTGAGTAATATTTTTTTGTCAATAACAATAGAAACAAAAGAGAAATTCTTCGAAGAAATAAAGCTAAAAACTTCTTATATTAAGATAAAAGCAACAAGTCATTTCCAAATATAAGATTGATTGTAGTTGTACCCTTTATTCAATAATTTTGAGAATTTTTCTCTGGTCTTCCTTTCCTCGCTTTTATAAGTAATGACCCAGGTGATCTTGATGTATAAAATGTCCAATCTCTTCTTTTAAGTGAATGCAACTTTCTGTTAGGTGCCCTATTGAACAGTGAAATTGATAATATTGAGATCGGTTCCCATCGTTTGAATTTTTAGTGGCTTTGGGCACTTTATATATTCAGAATCTTAAATCTTCATTAAGAAATTACTTCTGAATGTATTGAACTGAATATGATTGTCAATCTCAAATTGATGGTGTTTTCCATATATTAACTTTGCTTACTTTCTTTTAT